GCCAAATATCGTATCGATGAAAACAGGTGCTTGTCTTCCAATCGTAGGGTCCTGGGTTCATCCTGCACCCATCATTATCATCATTATTTAGTGGGTCCGTTTAATTCAGCATTGATGTTAGGGTATGGTCACCCTCGTTGAATGAAGTTGATTAAGATAAATTTTAAAATATATATCGTTGGGTATTATTATGCTTCCGCCTACTATACAGGGATGGCATTATGACGTGTCCTTTAAACCAATCACTAATCAACAACTCATCAACTGACAATTAAAGCACGGGGAAACCAGTAAGCGATGTCACAGGTTGTCTGTGTATAATGCGGTAATCCTTATTTTCTAATTAATACTAATTATAGGCCTAGACTGTACTTTTGACAACGTGGACTATGACATTCGTCTGGGTGGGTTAAATCATTTATCAGTAGGAGAATAGTTAATTATACAAAATGCAATATGTACTTTAATTACAGATGTGCTACATGATACCAATCAAAACGATTAACATATATTCTTTTAATTTTGTCTGTTAATAGTTTTGATTGATAAATCTTTATTTTAAAATAATTTGCTAAACAATAATTACCTGAAAATTACCTTCAGAATGGATGGATCAATCTTGCACGGTTCAGTGCACAATATTATTATAATCCGTGCTTACGATTCTCTTGGTGGAGGATGAGAATGGTCCATCTGTATTCTATACAGTGCACGTAAATATAATACTATTGTTGCGGTCGACATGGCTTAATCACCAATTGATGGATTTTACACTAAATTACACCTTGTAATTGTAGCAAACAACTTTAGTTTTGCTGCTAGTGTGCGAACGAAGGGAACCTGTCTCTTTCAGGACACAGGTGATAGCATGCCGCTCCTGCTGTAGGCCTCGTTTTAGGCCAAATTCATCAGGTGAGTTACATGTTCATATGATGATGTAATTTTATCATAAATTTATAATATTTATAGCATCCTTTGCTGAGGTTTATTCTTTCATGCCACCTGGTTGTTTAGCAGTTGGTCGTGATTATAATATTGATTTAAAAAAAAAACGAGTTCGGCGTTTCTCTTTCAATTTAGGCCTACCAGGGAGTTGTTATAGTCACTATAACAACAACTCCCTGGGCCTACCTGTGTACACTTCTGTTGACACGGTGTACGCCTAGTGTGACGACTAAGACTCCAAATATACTACATACAGTACTTTACCTGATTATATCAATGTGTTTATGACTGCAGTGCTCCACATGGCTGTACAATTTCGTGCATGAATCCGATTGTGGGTGAAGTTTGTAGTGCCCTTTCTGGGTGTGGATATGTGCTGTCTCTTATACACATCTAGATGTGTATAAGAGACAGGTGCTGTCTCGTAAGAATTTCGTAGGACGCGTTAAGAATGACAAAATGGAGGAGGGGAGATGGGTGGGGGCTGGGCAAAGTAAGACAAATTGAGGTCTTGGGGGAAGCCAGTTGGCTCGGGTTTATTTTTTTGCCAACAGTGTGGTATATTTATTTATTATAGCAAATAACAAGTTTTATATTCTGTACATTTATGACTGTCTTAAAAGTGTTTCCCTTTTTTGATTTGGGGGCTGCATATGCACTCATCACACTCACTCCATTATTTCCCCCATAACTGTACCCCTCACAGGGTTGTAGCTAATGAAAACTAAGGGTGGGAATAGATATTCTGACTGGGTGCCTGATAACATTGGTAAACCCTAGATAGTAAGTGGGTTAATAAGGGTGGGTGGAAGGCCATGAAATTAGCTTTAGACTGGGTGGAAAACTTCAGGGCCGGGTGGCCCCACCTACTATAATTACATCCCTGTCCTCAATCAAAATTCTGCTTTTTAGCTTTGTGAAGGTGGCCTATGCTAAGGCACATACAGATATTAACAGGGAAAAATAGCCCCTTCACCAACAATCAACAACAATATAGCCAGGGAGGAGTTGCTTAAATTTTAGGTAAAATTTACATGAATTAAATTTTGTTTGAAAAAATATTAATATTTCTGTTCTTTGAATAACCTCATTGGATCATGGTAATGAATATAAGAAATTTTTAAAGAGAAATAAATTAGCGTTACTGAATCATTTTGATAGCATACTAATAAGAATTGGAGAAAAGATTTACAAGTCTCCAACCTCATACCACAGGCCATTCATTAAAACACAATTCACATTTCTTTGATTCTCGTAATATTCAGGGGTGGATCCAGAGGTGTTTTGAAAGGGGACCGAAAGTGATTGAGGAAACAGCAACTTAGGGGGTCTGGGGGAATTCCCCTGCTAAAAAATTTGTTTTTTCTAGCTGCCTAAAAATAACCTCTGAAGCATTTTGGGTGTTTTTTTTTTTCTTTTTCTTTCTTTCTTTTGTTTTTTTTTATAGGGTTTTTCCATATTTTAATACATACAGACAAAACATGTCTTGATTACATACAATCTTCTCCAAATGCTTTGTCCAGATTCTCAAATTTTATATTACAAATACATGTGACATACCTAAATATGGTCATGATGACATCACATCACGACCACATATGGACAGACCCCGCTCCCTGTTATCACACTGTCTGCTTCCTGCCCATCATAACCTATTTATCATTGAAGATTAAGTTTTCCTTTGTTCGTATAAGGCACGCATATAATAGTGCTGTCCGATAAGCAGTTCTCCATGGTAATGAATGTATAATGTTTCCACTTTCATCTGCCTTTGTGGTAATCTAATTCAAGATGGCTGTCAAGTTGACTGCAGCTTATGCTCTTGTGTAGCATGGAGCAGGCTACAGTAAACCTGGGTAATTTTTATTTTTGTATGAAATACATTATACACAAATATACATATGCATATATACATATACATATATACATATACGATCTTGAGCACCTAATTTTGGTGATGATGTTTGCGCTAGATGTGTATAAGAGACAGATTCTATACAGTGCACGTAAATATAATCCTATTGTTGCGGTCGAC